AATGCTACAAAATTTTCAGGAGACATTCTCAATGCAATATACAAAACAACTTTTACATACATCAATACTGAAATTTTGAAAAATTTTATTTGAGGTATGTTAAGAAAAAAGTGAACAGAAAAATTGGAAAAAATCATTATTTATAAAGGAAAAAACGAAAAAATAATATGTTTATTAAATTTGAAATCAAGTATTATATTTATAAAAAGGTAAGTAGTCCTTTTTATATATATAAAATTGAACGCATGTAATTATAAATAAAAATTGCTCAAATATCATCCATAAGACTAATCCATTTAAAGGAAATGGGTATGTTCTGCCAGTCATTTTCTAATTATTCCTTCAAACTACTTGGTCATGGTCTTGTTGATCAATCCCAAAATCTCTCCTTCATAAACTTTCTCTTTGCCATCTCTGTCCATACATAATTGTGAATCTACACAACTTCTTGTTTCCTTTTCAATGTTTGTGTTGATTAAAACTCATTAAAAAATGTTATTTGATATATTAAATAATTGTCTATGTACTGCTTTTCTATGTGCTAATAAAAATATAATTACTATTATGGTGTTGTTTGAGTCTTGCTTATTAATTTGAAGTATGTTAATAAAACTTTATATATAGGCTAAACTAAAATATATATGATCTAATTTTAAAAAAGACTGTTTATTCAATAAATGTACAATTATCTGATTCTAATAATATAATATAGCCTATAAAGACACACAGTAAGTAGGCTAAGTATTAGAATGTTACATTAACTTAACAATTATTTAAAATTTACATTTTAATACCTTAAATTTAAAAAAAACACTAACTTTTATTGGGCATGTAAGTGTGGTTGTAGTAATAATCATAGAATATATGAAAAATATTAAGCTTAGAATAATGCCTAAATTATAGACTATTATAGGAAGATTATAAATAATAACTGTTGTTTATAATTATAACTGATGTTAATATGTAGACCTAATTATAGTAATATTCTCCCAAATAATAATTAATACGAGAATAACGATTATTATTATTATTGATATTCTATTGTAAAACTATTAATTATTAATTCCATATTTGTCAATAATGAAGAATGATAAACTTAAACTGTATACTAGTACATATAATTTTTAACGAAATCAATAAAACTTAAAAGCAACCCTTGGTTTTGGTTACTACATAAACTTTTCAAGCTTGTTAATAATCTTTTCTTAAAATTTTTTATTTTCAACTTCTTATAATTATTCAGATGTTTAAGGTTTCAACCTTAACGAATCATTCATAATTCGCATTTCTGGCTTCTCAATAAAAAAAATTAATTAATTTGCGGACATTTTCAGACCCCTTCTCCTTTGGGAAATGCATAACTTTTCTGGGACATAGTCAATGATAATAACTCAAAAAATGAAAAAACTCTTAAAATGAATGTAGTTTGCATTGAATTAAATCTTATTTGCCTGCTATAACTAATAAAAAAAGTATTTACGTGATTTATATGCTTACAGAGTCATTATAATAATACGGTCTGTGATTCACACAAAATCTCGTAGCATAAATCAATATATCACCAAACACAAAAACCGATATGTCACTGATGAGGAAAGCAATTATTTAATAAACAAAGGTGACGTAGTATGCAATTTTCCAAACGAACCGTGTAGCTGTACGCCATAATGTAGAACAAGTTTTTTTGACATTTTTGGACATGCCCAGATCGGTGCGTAGACTAGTTTTAAAGTACCTAGCCTATCTATTGTCAGATTATGAATTGATGTGAATGATGCTCTGTGAAGAACAGGAAAGTTATCATTCTCATCGCTCAGGTCTTACTGTTGGTCCTTTTACCAAGTCAAGTGTTGGGCTAATGTGAAGAGATAGCACCCTGTCATTTGCATGTTTTGTCCCTGGTTCTGATAGGGTCAAAACCCTGGTTCCGATAGGGTCAAAACCCAGGTTAGGGATAAGTTTAGGTTTCAGGTTAGGTTTAGGGATAGTGATAGAGTTTGAGTTAGGGTTCAGGTTAGGTTTAGGGATAGAGTTTGAGTTAGGGTTCAGGTTAGGTTTAGGAAAAAATTTAGGACATAAGTTGGCCATGGTAAAAAAATGTGGTGCTATCTCTTCACATTTACCAAGTGTTGGGATTACCAAAATGATGTCACTGCGATTAGGGTGAGACAACTCTTGGCAAAACCCATGCCGTTAACTACACATTTAGCCTACCCTCACTAAGTATGCCTATGTACTACATAGCACTTAAAGTAGGCCCTATAAGTAACTAAGTAGGACTTAGTCACTAAGTAGGTTTAAAAAAGCTATCAAGCATACAAATAAAATATTAATTGTTAAAGATTTTTGAAGAAATAACCTACCTTTGAATACCAGATATTTAGGGATTTATGTGAAATAATGGCAAACAGCATACGATCACAGCTACTGACAATATGATTAATTGTCTGAGCAACCCCTCTATTCGTTTTAAGTCGCTTAGGCCATCCCAAAGGAAAATACATCTTTGGGTGTTTTTATTTACTTATTATGCCACCTCTTCAACTTCGTCAACAATCGCCATATTGTTTCGATTTACTACAAAGACAAGTGTAAAATGATTTCATTGGTTGGAATAACATTTGTTAATCTAATCAAAAGCCGTGACACAGTCTACGGCGATTACCGGAAGAACATTTTCTTCAACTCGAAGGGGACGTTGATGTTCGAATTCATCAACAGCATGTACAAGAAAATAATGAAGGTTATATCAAGTTTTATATTGAAAATTACTGTTTTAATTCATTTGTGAATTTTTTTACTCTTAAAATTTGATCTGATATAAATTTAATCTTTATTTCACTTTCAAATTATTAAATATTAACTGTCCTTAAATCTCCTTTCGATTTTTTAAACATAAAAATGAATAACATCGCAGTATCTAAGCAACACAAAATGTAGAAAAAAGGAAAATTGCAATTACAAAAATCAGATACATAAAGAGGTGTGGCGATGGTTGCTCCTGAAATATTGGTATAACCTTAAGATAAATGTATCTCTTTTCCCCATATACTAGTTATTAGTAAAGGTTTTGAAATAACTGAAACCTTGCAAATTCGAATTTGTTAATAAATGAGGGACTCCGTTCAAGCCGTGCGAATTAAATAGTATTGGAACAAGATGTGGTGTGTAGACCTACGTTTCTTCTTCATATATATATTAAGGGCCCGCGATCTATGTATTGATCATTGATCTGGCTCCTATGTATGTAGAGGGGATTCGCAAAGTTTATGTGCCTGATATTGAAGAGGATATTTCACTGTTTGCAAGGTCAAGGGCTACTCAGCGAGGGTATTATGAACTAGGGGTTTGAAGGCCTGAGGAAATAGACGCAAATGTGTCAAGCATTGTCGCCCCAACTGTTCCTTTTGGGAGCTTGTTCCAGTCCCTGATTGTCTGTGGCAGGAATGAGCAGTTTCTGTACTGTGTTCTTGCTGTTATGAGCCGGAGCTGCCTGTCATGGCCTCATTGCTGTCTGTGGGGGAGAGGGACCAGTTTCGTTGCCGATGACAACACATTCTTTCCAATTTTCACCCCCCCCCCCCCCAAAAAATTCGTTTGAACAAGTTGAGAAACGAAGGAATCTAGGTGGGGGGGGGCACCCTGTAGACTATAATATGTTAAACATTGCCCATATTACGGTTTTTCACAAAAAAAATTATCAACACGTTTTCTTACATATTATTGCAGACAAAGATAATGTTAGATGAGTGAGAGGGATACAACTTATCGTGTTGGCGGGGGTGGGAGGTTTAATGATACGCAAAGTGAATTGCCACTATTTTTACTGTGATTGTGCATCATTTTGCTCTCAAGGAATACGAGTCGGCATCTTGCCATCCTTCTACCAATTAAATATCATCAAGACGTGTGAGACAATCGAACTCTGTGTGTGTGTGGGGGGGGGAAGAGAGGGGGGGGGCAATTGAAAAAGTTATTGCTCCAATGGACATATTGAGTTCGTGGTGGTCCCGATCATTTGAATTGTTTTCAACATCCTTTCAGTCTTTCATGTCCACTTGCCAAATTTAGTCCCCAATGAAAGTAGTGTATACAGAGACTTTTAAAACTGTAATTTCATGTGATCTTATTCCAAGTTTAAAACACTCATCTGTGATTTCCCAATATGGAATGCACGTTTTCATAAATGTTTAACATTTTTAAATAAAATTATCAGGTTTTTGGTTGAAATTTATATTTTTTAAAAAATGATCCAATGATTCAATCTAGGACGACCCACATCCCACTTTGGGTTATTACCAATGTTCCCTCTAAGGTTTGCTGGTTCCTGTGCAAAATCATACAGTTGTGTGCAAAATTTTACAGCATCAATTTTTTTGTGTGCAAAATTTTTCAGTCTCAAACACAAACACACACTTACATGGAAATTTGCGGCGTGGTACTCAAAACTGCTGCGCGGCGTCTGTGAGATAGCTGCGCGGCCGCGCAGCCACGCAGCTTAAAGGGAACATTGGTTATTACCCAAATAAATTTGTGTCGAACAAATTTCCAACGAATAAATTTCCGGAGTTGCTTGCTCCTGTCAGTGAAATTCCACAGAGTGAGACAAATGTCAGGAAAGTCTTAATTTTGTAGCTTGCTGAATAAAGTTGTCTCCCCTTCCCACACCAACTCACCCTACACGCGCTATTGTACAAAAAAGTATGAAGATACGCATGAGAAATAACCATTTGGTATCAAAAAGATGCAGTCGAGCCACGACACGATAGGTGCATAATGTATTTCTGTGTTGATCTTCTCAAAAGATTATATATTTCAACTAAGAATATTTTGAAACCACGTTAAAGTGAAATTGAAGCAAAGCGATCCGCCACTGACGGTGATTATGGCTCTGTTGCCCAGCTTCGCACACACACACCAATGGCAACAAGTCCGATTCTGAAAGATACTCAGCGTCACGTTGGTCACGCCCCCAATTTCTTGGCCGTTTCGCACCAGGGAAAAAGCTGCAGGAAGGTGTGTCTGAAGTTTGAACTCATGGTCAGGTAGATGAACAGATGCACGGACGCATTAAGGAAGTCCACTGTCATCACGCCGTAAGCGCACACGGTGAACAGGTTATGGTAGGTCTTCAGGTAGTAGAACTCGACGTTGATCAGCTTCCCGACGTGCAGCGCCAGCCTGGGTATGAGGGCCAAGATGTAGGCTATGATGACCACGAGGAGCATCTTCACCACCTGCTTGTCGCGCGAGGACATGTCTTTCGCGTTTTTGTCACCGGTGGAGACTTTGTGGACCGAACGGATTCGAAACTTGGACATCTTCCTGAGCTGGTACACTATGATGATCGTGCAGATGGCGATGACAACGAAGGCGAAGATAGGGTTCAGCATACCAATGAAGGTAAAGTATTCGAGTACGGAGGTACCGCATTTATTGTAAAAAGCGTTGTAACTATACACGACGACGGACTGGTTGTAAGCAGGATCGAATACCCAGTAAATATCGTAGACAAAAAATATTATACCGAAGGACACCATGACCAGCGCCGAGATGACGATCATCATGATGAACGTGAGCCTCGGGGTGACGACGAGCTTGACCTTGAAGGGGATGCACACGCACAGGCAGCGCTCGAAGGCCACGTACGACGCCAGGATGTAGGACACGTAGTTGGCGAACACCTGCAGGTACAGCAGCGTCGGCGACGTGATGTTCTTCCAGATCTTCCTGTACACCGGCGAGTACCAGCCGAGCGGCCCGTAGACGCGCATGGCCAGCCCGATGACGCACTTGAGCAGGTCCCAGACGGCCATGGCGGTGAGGGAGATGTTGACAGAGTCCTGGAAACCCTGCCTGGTGAACACGGTGATGTCGATGACGTTGGTGACGATGCCCAGGATGGCCAGCGCGGACATGATGCCCACGTCCAGCAAGTTGTCCACGATTTCCAACGCCGCGCTGGACACGATGATGTCATGGGCGATGAACGCCCTCACGGATGATTGCTGATCTTTGGCTGATTCCAGAACCGTCGACACGTTGGCCATTGCTTTGTTGTTGTTGTTGTTGTTTAGTTTGTTTTCCCTCAAGGAAATTTCAACTTGTGTTCCTATTTTAATTTTGTAGATATAAATCCTTCAGGACTATTCACCGCTTGAGTAAACAAAATATATGTTCTTATTCTCTCCAGTTAAAATATAAGCTGATAATTATTTATTAATTTTTTATTCATTTATTTATTTATTTTTATTTAATTTATTTTTTTTTTTTGGGGGGGGGGGGGTTTCTCCCGGGATGATTTTATTTTTATAGTTTGT